CCCGCCACCTTAGGTGTATGTGGCTGGCGCCTTAGCCGCTTGAGCCACAGGCGCCGAGCCTCTTAATTCAATTCTTAACCTACTTATAACTAACACTTGAATAGCTTATTAAATCATTATTACCAATAGTGCAAGCACATCAAGATGTGACTCTTCCCTTAAGTACTCCCACATGCACTCGTACTTTGGTAAACTTCTCATTTGTCTTGTCTTCTGATTTCTTTGTGTTGTTTTTCTGAGTTCTCTTGTATCTCACTGAGTGTTTTAAATATCATTTTGAATTTTGGTGGGGAGATGTCATAAATTTATTTTTCATTGTAGTCTATTGCTGGAGAATTACTGTGTTCCTCTAGCCATAATAGCATTTCATTACTTTTCAAGTTTCTTGTGTCCTTATGTTAACATCTGTGCACCTGGTATAACAGTTACTTCTTCACAGTTTTTGAATTTGCTTTCAAACAGGAGCACTTTTTACTGGAGATGTATCTGTGTTCCTGCTTTAGTGGAGCACTTTGGCTTGTATTCTGGGTACATGCAGTAGTATAGTCTTCCTATGATTTTTTGGCTATAAAACAGCATCAGTGGTTTGAGATTTTTCTCAGTGGCTTAGTGTCTATGTGGGCCAATTCTTGGGCCTCCTGGCACTTGCTTGGGCAAGTAGTGGTTGTGGGCCAGGCGTGTGACCAGATCCTTAGGATGCTGGCAATGGACGTGGATAGGGCATGTCCTTTGGCTCCCACATGGTCTGATGTTGGCACTGGCTGTTGACAAGCTGGGGAGGCCAGTCCTTAGGGCCATTGGTGATGCATGCAGTTGGTACCCACTGTGGCAGTAGCAGCAGGTTGAGCAGGCCCATCCTCAGCCCGCCAGGAGGAGTACTCAGTGCCAACAGTGGTGGAGAGGGCAGGGCAATTGCCAAGCCCTAGACAGCATCTCTGGCACCAGGGAGGGGTTGTGTTAGAGCTGGACTGGGCAGCCTGTCCTCAGGACACTCTGTGGTGCATGCTAGCTCTGCTTGTGGCAAGCGGGGGCAGTATGATCTCCCGGCCTCCAGTGGGATGCTATGATAAAGATGGCAGCTACTAGGGAGGATGGGGTTGCTTTCAGTGGCAACAGCCCTATACAGGCAGTGGGGAGTGTATGCTTTAGCCTAGCTGGCTAGCAGGCAAACCTTTCGTCAAAGTTTGTTTTATGTATTTATTTAGAGACGGAGTATTTATTTGTCACCCTGGGTAGAGTGCTATGGTGTTATAACTCACAGCAACCTCAAACTCTTGGGCTCAAGCAGTTCTCTTGCCTCAGCCTTCCCAGTAGCTGAGACTACAGGCGCCTGTGACATCATCTGGCTATTCTTAGAGATGGTCTTGTTCTGCCTCAGGCTGGTCTCGAACTCCTGAGCTCAGGCAATCCACTTGCCTTGGCCTCCCAGAGTGCTGGGATTACTGGTGTGAACCACCTTGCCCAGCTCTATTTATTTTTGAGACAAAGTCTTGCTCTGTTGCCTTGGGTAGAGCACTGTGGCATCAGTATAGCTCAAAGAAACCTCAAACTCTTGGGCTCAAGCAGTCCTGCCTCAGTCTCTTGAGTAGCTGGGACTACAGGTGCTTGTCACCAGATCAGGTAGGTTTTCTATTTTTATTTATTTGTTTATTTATTTGAGACAGAGCCTCAAGCTGTCCACCTGGGTAGAGTGCTGTGGCATCACAGCTCACAGCAACCTCCAACTCCTG